TTCACATAAATATGGGGTGCTGCATTTTGGTAAGGCACATCAGGGCAGGTTTTATATACTTAATGGTAAGGCCCTGGGGAGTGTTGCTGAACAACGAGGCCTTAGGGTGCAGGTTCATAATTTCTTGAAGGTGGTGTTGCAGGTAGTCAGGGTACAGGGTAGTGAAGAAGGCTTTTGGTATGGTTGCCTTCATTGGCGAGTGCATTGAGTATAGGAGTTGGGAGGTCATGTTGCAGCTGTACAAGACATCAGTGAGGCCAGTTTTGAAATACTGTGTTCGGTTCTGAACTCCCTGCTTTAGGATAGATGTTGTAAAACTTGAAAAATGTTCAGAAAAGATTTACAAGGATTTAATCAGGTTTAGAGATTTTGAGCCATAGGGAGAGGCTGAATACACTGTGGCTATTTTCCCTGGAGCGTCGGAAGCTGAGGGCTGACGTTATAGAGGTTTATAAAATCATGAGGTACATGGATAGGGTAAATCGCCAAGGTCTTTTCCCCAGGGTAGGAGAGTCCAAAACTAGAGGGCATAGGTTTAATGTGAGAGGGGAAAGATTTAAAGGGGATCTCAGGGGCAACTTTTCATGCAGATGGTGGTGTGTGTATGGAATGAGCTGCCAGAGGAAGTGGTGGAGGCTGGTACAATTACAACACTTCAAAGGCATCTGGATGGGTACATGAATAGGAAGGGTTTAGAGGAATATGGGGCAAATGCTAGCAAATGGAACTAGATTAATTTAGGATATCTGGTCAGCATGGACGAGTTAGACCAAAGGGTTTGTTTCCATGCTGCACATCTCTATGACTCTGTGACTCTAAATGCTAGTTGTTTTGTGATTATGCTGAGTGACATACTATTCTTGCCAATGTCTTGTTAGTACTTGCACCTTCTTTTATTTCCCAAAGTGTAGGAATGATTAGGACAAACAAATCACATTCCTGTTATATCGTGATCTGTGGGAGCAGCGATGGTAAAGGACAAAGTAGTTAAAGAGTAACATAGATTAAAGAGCATCTTTCCATTTCAAGCTGCATGTTGATTACTTTTGTTTCCAAGTTGTAAAGGCCAGTTTTATTTTTGGACTGAAAAGTGGGAAATGATACTATGTTAAACCAAAGATTGTGGAAGGATATGTTGCAGTTTTTAAAAATGTAAGTTACTGGAATTCATTGTGTGTATTTCCTTCTTCAAGCAGTGAGAAGACTGCTGGACACCTCAGCTCCATGGTTGTGTTTTCAGAGGAGTTTTGCCCAGTGACAGACTTTTGATTGGTTTTTCAACCAGGATCAATTGTGAGAGTTCAGGGTACTCAGCATAGAAACTGCATGACTGTTTCATGTGTGAGTTGCTACAGCTTTGTGCCTGGTTAATGCAGCAGAAACATTCAAGTTTTGAAAGAAAAAGCATTTATTCTTCCCTGTGTCTTTCTCTTCTGTGCATGGAGAAGGAAAACAAACTTCTGAGCAGTTCTTTCTCTTTCTCTCTGAAAATTCCTTTCTCAAAAGGATAAGGAGAAAAACAACTTTGAAAGTTACTGCAAAGGTGAATCTTCAACTAGTGAATGAAAAATTTAAGAGTTGTGGTGTCCACAGCCTAGTGCCTTTATCGAAGAGGCAAAAGGAATTGGAAGAAAACCAACGAATAGAATCCCTACATACTGGAAACAGGTCAATTGGCGCATTGAGTCCACACTGGTCCTCTGAAGAGCGTCCCACCCAGACCCACCCCAACCCTGTATTTCCCATGGCTAATCCACCTCGCCTACACATCCCTGGCCCCAAAGACAATTTAGCATGGCTAATCCACCTAACCACATCTTTGGACTGTGGGAGGAAACCAGAACACCTGGAGGGAACCCACATAGACAGTCACCCGAGGGTGGAATCAAACGCGGGTCCCTGATGCTTGAGGCGGAAGTGCTAACCACTGAGCCATTGTGCTGCCACGGACCTGTAAACTGACTGGTATCAGTTCTATACTTTACTGACATTTTTGTTCCTTCCTCACCCATAATATTTATGTCTTGTTTCTTTGTGTGTCAGTTTGGGAATGTTTAAAAGGGGATAGAGTTTAACTTATGGAGTATATGTTAGCAATTCACGTTTCTTTCTTGTTATTGTTTAAACTTGTTTGATTGCAATAAATAATTATTTTTTCTTAATGATAAAATCCTGATGTGCTTATTGTTATAACCTGAATTCAACAGTTCGGTAAAATTGGACAGTTTGTTCAGATTTTCACATTTGTGATGACTCTGTTGAATAAAACAAGAACAAAGAACAAAGCAAATTACAGCACAGGAACAGGCCCTTTGACCCTCCAAGCCTGCGCCAATCCAGATCCGCTATCTAAACCTGTCATCTATTTTCCAAGGATCTGTATTCCTCTGCTCCCTGCCCATTCTGTCTAGATACATCTTAAGTGACGCTATCGTGCCCGACACTACCACCTCTGCTAGCTACGCATTCCAGGCACCCACCACCCTCTGTGTAAAGAACTTTCCACGCATATCTCCTTTAAACTTTTCCCCTCTCACCTTGAAATTGTGACCCGTAGTAATTGAGTCCCCCACTCTGGGAAAAAGCTTCTTGCTATCCACCCTATCTATACCTGTCATGATTTTGTAGACCTCAATCAGGTCCCCCCCAACCTCCGTCTTTCTAATGTAAATAATCCTAATTTATACAACCCCTCTTCATAGATAGTGCCCTCCATACCAGGCAACATCCTGGTGAACCTCCTCTGCACCCTCTCCAAAGCAACCACATCCTTTTGGTAATGTGGCGACCAGAACTGTACACAGTATTCCAAATGTGGTCGAACCGAAGTCCTATACAACTGTAACATGACCTGCCAACTCTTGTACTCAATACCCTGTCCGATGAATGAAAGCATGCCATATGCCTTCTTGGCCACTCTGATGCGTTGCCACCTTCAGGGTACAATGGACCTGAACACCCAGATCTCTCTGTGCATCAATTTTCCCCAGGGCTTTTCCATTTACTGTATAGTTCGCTCTTGAATTGGGGGATCTTCCAAAATGCATCACCTCGCATTTGCCCGGATTGAACTCCATCTGCCATTTCTCCGCCCAACTCTCCAATCTATCTATATTCTGCTGCATTCACTGACAGTCCCCTTCAGTATCTGGTACTCCACCAATCTTAGTGGGACTTGATTTCCAGTGCAGTGCCCAAGTGAGTCATGGCAAAGTTATTTCAATTTTATGGCACAAACCCATTTCTTTCATCAGATATGATGTTAAACAAGTCAGTTAAAATGAAACAAAATTGGTATTTCTGAAGTTCTCAATTTGATTTAAGATAGCCAAGTGAATAGTTGAAAAGCATGCAGCAGATTTAATGCTTGACTTAACGCATTGTTCTTGCTGTCGGTTAACAATGGTCGGCTGTAATGAGTCTGTGTAAGTGTGTACCATTTAGATCAGGAGTAACATGCTTTAAATGAGAATAAAATTGTTATTTATTAAAATTGAAGTTTAGTGACAGTGGAAGAGGTTTCCAGCAAAAATGCTCACTTGATTAGCATTATTAGTCTTGAAAATCATTCAAGCAATTAGATGTAAACTGATTTAGCTTTTTATAACTAATGGGGTTTACATATGCAATAATAAAGTTGTCATCAGGAATTAAGGTTTTTTAATGAAGATTCTGTGTGTGCATGAAACACTTTTTCCTCCTCTTTTTTACACATTATTATTCTCTGTGGTTGGCTAATGCTTAATGCTTTCCAAGCACGTCACACTAAAGCAATTTGATTCCCTGTAGTGTAACACATTTTTTCTTGAGTATGTCTGCTTAACTTTCGATGAAGAGTGGTCTTACTGAAAATGCTGTCATTTTCCTTGAAAAAAAAACACCATACTATAACAATAATCGAAGAACAAAAGTGTAATATAAATATTTGATCCTTAAGGTCCTAATCTTCATTCCAAAAACATACACCTCCTTGCTCTATGGTTTGCTTTTCTTGTGGTTGACTTACATTCTTAAATTACATTAAAGCCTATGTCAGTAATTAAATTCAATAATTCTCATGGACATACTTTATTTTATATTTTAATGGCAATGCTGTCCAGTTCATCCGTTCCCTGAAATAAATCAGACATTGGACTAACCTTAGCACAAAATGTGTCAAAAGCAAAGCAAACGTTAATCATTTTTTTGGGTTTCTTTTGCGTCATTTAAATTATGAGGCTGAACCGACAAGCTAGTAGCTTTACTGGCACGGGACCAAAAATAAAGAATGTCAGTAATATTGAGAAACTGGATAAGCTGGGGCTGCTCACTATAGGGCAAAGGCTAAAAGGGAATTTGATTTGTTCAAAACCATGATGTTTTCATAGAGCAAGTAAAGTAAAAGTGTTTGCTTCGGCGAGGACACAGATTTAAGGTGATTGGCAAAAGAACCAGAAGCAATATGAGGAACAATCTTTTTTTGCACAGCAAATTTTGATCTGTAACACACTGCCTGAAAGATGGTGAAAGCAAATTCAATAATGATATTTGAAAGGGGATTAGATAAACAGTAAAAAGGGTCAAAAAAAGCCACAGGGTCATGGTTAAAAGGTGGTGCGGGGGGTGTTGGGGGATGGTGAGGAGGGAGGAGAGTTGGAGGGGAGAGAAAGACAAGTTGGATGGCTCTGCTAAAGAGTGATCCTGGGCCAAATAGTTTCATTCTGTGTTTATGGTATTGCTTCAGTTCCTTGCTAGTGAAGTACTCATCTCAGCCATACCATTAAGGTGGTCTCCAAAGTTAGAGGGTGCCTCCCAATGCAGAGGAAAGACATGGAGAGAAAAATCACTGTATATCATTTCTCGCACAGTTGCACTGTTAGGAGGTTGGTATTTGTAAGAAGTTGGCTGATTCTTCCTGTTCTTTTGGAAGGTGACAGAAAAGTGCAAATAATAAGAATCTTAACAAAATAAAGTAAAAAGAAACATCTATTGAACTAATTGATTTTAATTTTTACCAATAGGAATTCTTGAAGTTTTGCACTGTGTTCTTGTGGAAAGTCCTGAAGCTTTGAATATTATCAAAGAAGGGCACATTAAGTCTATAATTTCCTTGCTAGATAAACATGGAAGGAATCATAAGGTATGCTTTCATTTATTTTTGCATTGCTAATCATTTTACTCTGTGAAAAAGCACATTGGTCAATTTTTAAGACCATGTGCGGTGAAGATTTGTCGTGAAATTGTAATTATGTCTATAAAATATGTATAATTATTTGGTATTTTGTTACAAATAGTGACAGAGGAAATTTTCTTCTGTAAAATTTGCTTTTTTTAAAAATGTTGTAATTCCAAGTGAGGTCTAATAGTGGAATATTCTCACTTATTTTAAGTGATGGAGTGATTTATAGGATAGCGTTAGGATATTTGCTAGCATGTTAGCTTGTTTATCATTAGAAGATTGTTGCACTTGTTTTGACTTTAACTTGTTAAAGAAGATTGGAATATTATATCCCCCATAAGCCCTTCAAAACCAGAAACTTCCTGCACCGAATGTCTGTTTCAGTCTCTCTGATATGCAGTTATGCACTAGTTACCAGGAGGCTGCCGAGTGCTTTTGTTCATTCATTTATGGATGATCACGGCTAACTACAACAGTTTTCATTGCCTAATTTCCCTGGAGAAAGTGGTGGTGAGCTCCCTTCTTAACTGCTGTGATCCTTTGGATTTAAGAACATCCACAGTGCCATTAGAAAGGAAATTTCAGGATTTTGACGTAGCGACTGTGAAGAGCAGCAGTATTGTTCCAAATCAGGACAGTGGTGGTGTTCCTTTGTATCTTCTGTCCGTGTTCTACTAGGCAGTTAATGTTGTGGGTTTGAAAGATGCTGTTGGTGGGGCCTTGGTAAGCTGCTGCAATACATCTTGTAGGTGGTACACACTGCTGCCCCTGTGTGTGAGTGGTGAAGAGACTAATTATTCAAGATGGTGGATAAGGTGTTGCTTTGACTGAATGGTGTCAAGCTTCTTGAGGCTTTTTGGAGTTGCACTCATGCAAGGAATTGGAGAGTATTCCATTACAGTTTTGAGTTGTGCCTTGTTACCCATGTCAACCCTTCTCCCTTCCGTACCCACCTTGACACTTGACTTCTGCGTGGGGTCTTCTGCATGGGGTCTTCCAAAAGGAACATGATTACAATGAATCGAAGGGCGAGTCAAACCTCCTTACTCTTTGCATTTTGATGTTTCAGATACCATATTGTATTCCATTATAATTTTTTGATAAAATTCCCAATTCTTAGGAAATGGCACAGAAAAAACGGTGGGCTAATCAGTTATATCTTGCACAGTGTTGATAACATGACATTTTTATTTCTAAATTTTGTGCTTTGACATAGATATAATGATACCATCAATGAGCTTGTTAATTATATGCAGAACTAATGGTTTCGTTACTATACTTTGTATTAACTCTGTGATTTTCTGCCCCAAGAGGGAATAATCTCAAGAGTAAGGGGTTGCCCAATTAGGAAAGAGAGAAGGAGAAATTTCTTCTCTCAGAGGGTACGGAATCTGTGCCATTCTTTACCACAGAGGGCTGTCATGGCTGGGTCATTAAATATATTCAAGGTTGAGACAGACTGATTTTTAATCAGGAAGGGAATCAAGGATTATGGGGAAAAGGCAGGAAAGTGGAATTGAGGATTATCAGACCAGCCAAAGTCTCATTGACTGGTGGAGTGGACCTGATGAACTGATTGGGCTACTTATGCTGCTATACTCTTATGGTCTTATAGTCTAATGGAGCTGATCCTCATTCAGGCCCCAGATATGAGATTGTTGAGATACTTACTGACTGAGCTGGGTTGCCATTGGTTTCCTGGTGGCTTTAACCTTCAGAGTACCTTTATCTTGAAAGCTGTGAAGAAGGTTTAAGAGTTGCATCTACCCATGACAATGGGGGAGGGACATCCACACCCACTGGATCTGAATACATTTGCAGTAAATCAATACAGTACTCTGATGAAGAGTCACCTAGACTTGAAACGTTAGCTTGCTTTCTCTCTAAGGATGCTGCCTGACCTGCTGTGATTTCCAGTAATTTTTGTTTTCAGTAAAGATTCTAGCATGTGCAGTAATTTGCTCCAACACAATACTCACACCTGGTGTTCTAATTTCTGTTCATGGGAGTTTTTAAAAAAAAAAATTCAAGGGATGTGAGTGTCACCTACATGGCCAGCATTTGTTCACAATCCTTAATTGCCCTTGAGAAGGTGGTGGTGAGCTGCCTTCTTGAGTCCATTTGGTATAGATATACATAGTGCCATTGACCAGCGACTGTGAAAAAAACGGTGTCTATCAATATGACCAGAATGTTTATTATGTGTCAGAAAAAGCTGAACATTAATATTGTAACAATAGTGCGGTAAAAGGAACTCCAAACAGAAGTTAGAATGATGTAAGGATAAGGGAGGAGTGTGGATCTAGTTGAAATGCTATCTCAGAAATCTGCCACAGCTTGGTGGGTCAAGTGGTCAAATACCATAAGAATCTGACGTGTACATTCCAGAATTTGTCGAATTTCAATAATAGGAAACTTGATGAGCATCACCTGATGTGGATTGGATGTTCGAAGGGCTATAGGATCAGGACCTGGTATAAGCAGGTTTGATAATTGAAGGTTCTACAATTCTCTCTTGATCCCAACAACTTCGGGACAGTTTTGAATTTTCAAAGAACCATTGGAGATGGAATCAATGATAGCCTGTTTGTCACTACTGAACAGCTTCTTAACCTCCTTGAGGAGCTTGTCTTGTACATTTAGTCCACAGCTCTCAGGTTTGACAGGGACCTGACTACGTTGCTTCAGAGTTGCCCTGAAATCTAATATGTGCAGCTACCTAGCACTGGCACAATCACGGCTCCTAACCTTCTCTTCCATCTCTGCTGCCTTGACTCATTTTACCCCCATGGTCATCCCAGGAGCTGCCAGCTCTGATCGCCAAAGCAGGGGCAGCCTCCAGCAATTTGTTGTTAATGCCAGTCAGACAGCTCCCCCTTTATAGAGATGCTTGAAGCCTCTAAATGAGTGCTGAGCTTGCCTCATGTCTAGTGGAATGATGTGAATTTAAAAATCTCCTCACCAGAGGTTCTCATTGCAAGTGTGTTGTTGGGATCCGGAATTCACCCAGACGTCAGACTTGCAACGCTGCATTGAGAGCTTGGTGTCTTATCTCATCTTTTAAGCCTATATGCATCCCAGTTTTTAATACACTTTTACTACAGACTGTTTTTCACAAATTCTCTATTTTAGTTGCAGTTGTGATGGATCTAATTGATTCTGCTTGTATAAGTTTTCTTAATAGGCCCCCTGAGTTGGTGTTCAGATGAACTAATTTTTCTGAATAAATACAGATGTGCAAGAATAATTTGAGCCTCTACAAGTTTCAGCAAGTGTCTTTGAACAGCAGCTTTGCACGTCTAAAGGTCTCTTATTCAGACAAGTTTTCAAAATGTCCAGATGTGGAAGAAATATGATTTTGAGATGGTCTGTCAGAAACATGACTTTTATGGATATCTGCACCTTGTGGTAAGTGACAAATGGACAAAGGCCGACTCAACATAATTAATTTTCTTGTCCTCCAAGGTTTTAGATGTGTTGTGCTCTCTGTGTGTGTGTCACGGAGTTGCTGTGCGATCTAACCAGCATCTAATTTGTGACAACCTGCTACCAGGAAGAGACCTACTGTTACAAACACGACTCATCAACCATGTCAGCAGGTAAAATTAAAATCATCCCAGTGATCTATGTTCACAATTACTGTTCTTTTAAATGTCACAAACATAGTAAACCGGTGTATTGATATTTTTAAATTAATTATAAATACAGTTGTGACTCTCCTGTTGGACAGATGCCATTTTGGATGCAGGCCTGAATTATAAGGATAGGGACATGCATGGAATTTCACATGATTGACTGGTGTTCCATTTCTTCAGCTCATTTGCATGGCCAGGCCACTTGCCTAGCAGTTGTATTGAAGTGAGGGGGTAGTTGGCAGGGCTATCACCCACAAGCATTTGCTCACCAGTGAGGAACTCAAAGTTCTATTCAGGCCTGTTGTCGGTGGCTTACTGGTAGCAAGGGCTAATGCAGCTGCCTGAGGGTGAAGGAGGTGGGGGAGGGTGTCAGAGAGGCAGGTAGGGTGGATGCATGTGCACATGCAGGCAGCACTCAAGGCAAAACTCCCAGAGGGAAGAACCAGTTTAAAAAAATACTAACGCTTGCAAGTGAACATACAACCATCCTGGAGCTCCCCATTTTCAGGCATGTAAGGCATGTCACACCAGTATGTGCCATATTGCCTCCCTGCTCAGAGATAATTAAGATTTTCCATCAATGTTCCCAAGTTGTCACTCCTTATCTCATTCTTCAAATGAATAGATGTGAGCATTTTACTTTTTAAAAAAAGTATGGCCAACCACAAATAGTCGCAAAAGTAAATATTTTCAGTGTTTAGAATTATGTCTAGGACCGAAACTTATGTATTTTTTGCATAAGTATGAGTTGCATTGTGTTTTTGGAGGGCTTTTCACCATGAGGCCCCACAAACTCACTCGCCATATCTTACTGAACAAACCTCATTAACTATCTACCCTGCCCCTATGGTGTCCCTCACATCCAATTCTATCCCTGTTTTACCATACGGTATTGCCAAAACAACTTGCCACTTTCTGGATATCAATGAAAGACCCAGAAACTCTGGTGCCTGCACTATCTTGAAAAGGCCTCTGTGCACCTGGATGCACTGACATTCTAAAGCTGCTCTGTTCACTCAAGGATGGAGCTGGAGGATGTTAGAGAAGAGGAAGATGAATCTCTTCTGCACCGTCTCATTATGTTGAGGTTGTATGGACATTGGTGGGGCCACTTCTGGAATACTGTGTCCAGTTCTAACAGGAAGGATATTACTAAGGTGGACAGGGTTTGGAAAAGATTTACCAGGATGTTGTTGGGAATGGAAGGTTTGCGTTATAAGGAAAGGCTGGATAGGCTTAGACTTTTTTCACTGCAGCATAGGAGGTTGAGAATTGACCTTATAGAGATTTATAAGATCACAAGAGGTATGGATAGAATGAATGGCAGGTGTTTATTCCATTGGGTAGGGGATTTCAAGACTAGTGAGCATATTTTTAAGGTGAGAGGAGAAAGATTTAAAAATGACATGAGGGACAATTGTTTTATGCAGAGAATGGTTCGTGGGTGGAATGAACTTCCAGAGGAAGTGGTGGATGTTGGTACAGTTACAATGTTTAAAGGACATTTGGATAAGTACATGAATAGGAGATGCTTGGAGGGATATGGGCCAAATGCAGGCAGTTGGGACTAGTTTAGCTTGGGATTATGGTCAGCATGGACTGATTGGATTAAAGGGTCTGTTTCTGTGCTGTCGCACTCTATGACTCTTTAGTGCAGTCTCATCCTTCCCGTAGTGTGGTGACCAGAACTGCCAACAGTACTCCAGCCATGTCCTAATTAATATTATATACAGCTACTTATTAAAATTGTAAGAGCAAAAAGAACTCTTAAAAAGTGACATCCAGGAAATGGATGTGATCAGATCTGAAAAGCTACAGAGAATCCTGATAGGTGGCAAAGAGGAGAGAGAAAGAGGAATTGACTGAGGTGTAGTTGGATGATGGATGTCACACTGAATGGTTTCAGACAAGCCATAGTCGCTATGTGAGGATAGCGTAAGACAGACAAATGTGGCATACTGTGGCAACTCATCCCCTGGCAGAACAGCTACAAGCAGCAACAGCATTTCTAGGTCTGCTATAGACTAATTGAGAATGAACAGTTATGATCATTCAAAAACTTCATTAAAATTGGATCATTTGTAGACTAGATGGTAGACTATGAATGACAGAGACCCTGGTCATCTTTAGTGCAGCAGTTGTTATGTTGCCCATATATTCTGTTCAGTTCTTATATTGCTACAATGACCTATCATTCCAGTTCTGAAAATGAATGAACAGAAAATGATTGGGATGAGGAGCCAAAAATGTTGGTTGTTTGGTTGGTTGATTGCAGTTCTGAAGAAGGGTCACCGGACCCGAAACGTTAACTCTGATTTCTGTTCACGGATGCTGCCAGACCTGCTGAGCTGTTCCAGCAACTTCTGTTTTTGTTTCTGATTTACAGCACCTGCAGTTCTTTCGGTTTTTATGTTGATTGTTTTGTTGAAGGAAGTTTTAAAATAAACTCATCATTTAAAGATGGAGACTTACTGTGGGACCTCCACCACCCCATAACCCCCACAGTGAGCCATTCTGGTATCCTGCAGGGAAGAGTACCAACATGCAATGGAGTGATGCCACTGGCATTTTCCTGGGTTATGGACCATCCTCTCCTGGTAGTTGGAAAGAATTTTGCTGCAGTGTCATGGTGCAGCCTCAAAGTTTCAGATGGTGGATTACTTGGGTTGCAAACTTAGTGTAATCAGGTTATGTCTCAAATTTCACATATACCACTTTTCCAGCAGGTAGATGATCGTGGAATTGTTGTGTTCAAACATGGGTTAGCATTTTACAAAAATCAGGATGAAGTTTTGTCTGATCAAGAAGGATGATACATTTATTTTCTGTTTTCAGTATGCGACCAAATATCTTTCTGGGAATAAGTGAAGGTGCTGCCCAATACAAGAAGTGGTACTATGAATTAATCGTGGACAATATTGACCCCTTTGTGACAACAGAAGCTACACATCTTCGAGTTGGCTGGGCTTCAACAGATGGTTACTCACCGTGCCCTGGAGGGGGTGAGGGATGGGGAGGGAATGGCGTTGGAGATGACCTTTACTCCTATGGATTTGATGGACTCCACTTATGGGCAGGTAGGTAGTTCTACATAATTAGGAACTTTAACAATATACATAGCCTATTGCAAATGCAAAGCTTGAGCCTTCATCCAGACTATTCATCTTCTTAACATCAAAATTTACTTGAAAAATCATGTTAAAATAGAGAAATGTTTAAACTAAAAACATCTGCCACATGACATAACGATTGTTATGAAATATGGCCCGTTCATTGCTTGTGGGAAGCAGCTCAATGACTTTTTGCATGTCAATCATATGCAAACATATGATAGTTTGATGGTTAATGTTGAAGTGTTCTGTGTGCAAATTTTTCAAAATTTTAAGATATTACTTGACTAATTTTAGACTTAATACTATTTCCCATATCGGGCATAGCGACATCTTTTAGAATTTTGGAACAAATATTCGCAGAATGTCTATTTTTTAAAAAATCAAATAAAACCATTATGAGGAATCAAGATTGATATTGAATTCCAAATGGAGTGTATCATCAGTTGGTATCTGTTGGCTTAAGCCACTGACTATTATGGCATGCGGGGAAGAACATGCATTTATATCACACGTTCAGTATGTCTGTAAGCACCTCGGAATCTGTTATTTATTTCTGGAGTTCCGATACAGTTTTTATAGATAAATGTAGTAGAGCATGTGTTCACCACAAGGCCCACAGGTGAGAGTGTAGCAGAGCATATTTTCACCACAGGGTACACAGGTGAGATGAGAGACCAGTCAATGGATTTAATTGGTTCATGGAGGCATGTTGATCAGGGGAAGCCTCTGCTGTTCCTCAAACAGGGGGTTGTGAGGTCTCTTACATCAAGCTGAAGAGCCGGTCAGGGCTTCCGTTCAGCAGCTCCTTTGATGCACTCCGACCAGGTAACAATGTCCCACTGTTGCACAGAAAAGTCAGCTACATTGAGAAAAATATTTTACTGATCAGACTCATGGATCAATCAGAAAGTCATGGAGAGCCCGCCATTCAGTTGTGGTGGTTTGATTTCACACTGTTTATCTGACATCTCGGATCTTGGACCTGCACTGAAGTCCAATATAGTTTACACAATCAACCTTCAGTCAGGTGGAGAGTCAGTCACAAGAGGCAAGCCTGAACAAGGGAACAAAAGAGTCAACTGTACAGGGCATTGGTTCGGCTGCTTTTGGAGAATTGTGTACAGTTTTGGTCTCCCTGCTATAGGAAGGATGTTGCGAAACTTGAAAGGGTTCAGAAAATATTTATGAGGATGTTGCCAGGATTGGAGGATTTGAGCTATAGGCAGAGGCTTAATAGGCTGGGGCTATGTTCTCTGGAGTGTCTTAGACTGAGGGGTGACCTTATAAGAGTTTATAAAATCATGAGGGGCATGGCTAAGGTAAATAGGCAAAGTCTTTTCTCTGGGGTGGGGGAATCTAAAACTAGAGAGCATAGGTTCAAGGTGAGAGGGGAAAGATATAAAAGGGACATAAAGGGCAATTTTTTCATGCAGAGGGTGGTGCATATATGGAATGAGCTGCCAGAGGAAGTGCTGGAGGCTGGTACGACTACAACATTTAAAAGGCACCTGGATGGGTATATGAATAGGAAGGATTTAGAGTGATATGGCCCAAATGTTGGCAAATGGGAGTAGATTTAGTAGGATATCTGGTTGGCATGGATGAGTTGGACCGAAGGGTCTGTTTCCATGCTGTATATCTCAATGACTCTATGACACTTTAACTGGGAAGATTGGAGGAAGAGGTTCTGTAGGGCGATGATTTTCAAGGGATAAGGGGTAATCCTGAGGAGTACATGAATTATCACCGAATATAATGTTGTCAAATGGCCTTGGGTGGGAGAACAGCTTTGGATCTTGAAGGAGTAAGACTTAACATTAGAGTCTCTCTCATAGTTTCAATAACAATGTCTGTGATATTAATGAAACTTGTACCTAGTTGCTATCATGCAAAAAGCTGTGTCTTGTTTAAGACAAGAATCTCTTCTTGTTAGACCACTGAGTGGTGTCTTCTACCAGACTAGACCTACAAGGCTCTGAAGATTTCGAACAGGAATGAGGATGATGGTAGCAAATCTACCAGATGGATCGTACTATATGACAAGCTGTGATGAGATCCAGCAGTGGTGATCATGGGAGACAATGGGCAAGAGATGAAGCATTCGGATAGGCCATTGAACATTGGGGTTGGAGTTCAGTGGTCTTGTGGTAGGAGGTTATGAAGCTTCCATTGGTGGAGTGGGGATTGGTGCCTGGTTGACTGGGTGGGGTCAAAGGCCTCATGGAAGGTGCACGCCCGAACGAGGAGGCTCCTCAGACTGTTACTTCGATCCAGAGGGTGGTTTCGAAGGGCCCTTACCCTCAGAATCCACTTTGAGGAAACTTCTGGGTTCACAGAACTCAGAAAAATCCAGCCAACTGCAGTTAAATATTGAACACTGAATGCCATTCAGGCTTGTGGCCTCATTATTATAGTTAGAAACTACAGTGAAGAAACTGTCATTTATCTGTCATGTTTCAGTTCCACTGGTGGTATAAATGTCAATATTGTAAATCAGTTGTATTTTCTGTTACAGTGTTATGATATTCTAGTGGAGTCATTTCTTAATTAAGTTTCTCAATTCTCAAAACCTGTAATTTTAGAATCTGTTAACATTTTCAAAAGTGTCTTCCCATTCTTTTAAATGATGGAAATGCTGCTAATCATCTTTGTGAACCTTACACAGTGGTAATACTCTCAACTGAGGCAGAAGGAGAGGGTTTCAAGCCCTACTGGAGGGACTTGTTCATATAGTCGAGGAAAATCCTAATGCTGAGGGAATGCAGCATTGTTGGAGCTGCGTTTTGGATGGGGTGTTAAGCCGAGGATTTGTCTACCCTCTCAGGTGGCTGTAAAAGTAATAGCTGCAATTAGCAGGAGTTGTTATCTGGCTCAGCTTCATCTTGTCTATTTTCTAAAGTAATTATTAGCCAAGTTGTCCCATGTGCTATGCATTCTGCAGAAATAGCATTCCAGTGGTCCCAGCTCTCTCGATGCACTCCCTCTCTCCCACAACAGTATTCCCACCTTTTCTTGTCCTGGTGTAAACCTACTTTATTGCCTCAAACTTCGTATGACCTTGGGATGAAAATTCTTGGGGTTGGGTGTGGGGGAGTTGCAGATAAGAATCCTTGAAGGAATGGGGACTGTTGATGGAAAGGCTGCAGTTAAACACAAACATGCACCTATTCACAGGATTTTTTTGTAGCAGAGAGCTGTCCATTAGGCCACCCTCACCAAAAAATAATTAATGCGGTAAGAGCGCAGCCCGGGTTCCATTGCAGCTATTATTACTTCAGGGCTTGGGTCCCAGAATCTCATCTTGTTATCGCATTGGAGGCTCTGACCCACCATTTGGAAAACCCCTGCATATTCATACAAGAGCAGGGGGGTTATTCACATAGTCTGAGTGTAACCCAGTACTGAGGAGATGCTGCACTGTTGGAAGAGCCATATTTGAGGTGAGTATCATGGCTAACATGTATTTCTCCAACTAGATCACAAAAAACATAATAGATCCAGTCATGTATTTCACTACTGTGTGTGGACTTTATAGAGCATTTATTATTGGTTGGTGTGTTTCCTAGATGTCAAAAGTAATGATACTTGATAAGTCCTTCATTGGCTGTAAAGTAGTAGGAAGTGTCATAAGGTGGTGAAATGCATTGTTTTTTCATTCAAATGTAGAATGATTTGTTTCAGATTAACCCTAACCCTGTTAATTCTAGTTCACCTTCTTGGTGTGCTGACCCGCTTTAGCTTCTCTGTGTGCTTATGCCAATATTATAATTTGGCACCTGGAGTCAGTTGGCTCAGTTGGCTAGGCAGCTGGTTTGGGATGCAGAGTCAAACCAGCAGCGCAGGTTCAATTGCCATACAGCTGAGTTCACCATGAAGGTCCTTACCTTTTCAACAAGGCGTGACGTTCCTCCAGTGAAACCCAGTGAGCTGTATCTCTCTCTGTCCAGCAGAAAGTAGCCTTATGGTCCTCTGGGACGATGGTCACTTTCACTTGGCAACAAGAGGCAAGTACTTTGTGATGCACCAGTCTGGTTGTTGTCTGTCTGGATGACAATTACTACGGCAACTTTATTTGTTGTACTGGAAATAAATCTGCAGCCTGGTTACTGGAGACTGATATTGACCTGAAATGTTAGTCACATGTTCAGGAGGTTAGTAGTGCATAGCGGAGAATTTTGTTGAAACATAACGATTGGTGGTTCTAAAGATGTTGCTGGAACTGCATCACTGGTATTCTCCCAAACTTTAATGGCAGCCTTCTGCACATGAGGTCAGTATTGATATTAACTGGTGGGTTAGCCGTAAGCTCATGCACTGGAATAATAAATGGATTTCACTGATCCCAAGAAGTGCTAATATTTACAATTGCTTCTGTTAATGCCTTGATAAAGAATAGCACAATTGTCAACTTTTTAGATCGCCTGATTTCAGGTGCTATCTTGAATTGTGTATCCTGTCAGATGAAGAAGACTGATATTGGAAGTCAGGTCATATTCTGGATTCAAGGGGACAGCTTCATGGTTAGCCACTCACTCTGAATTAAAGACACTTATGCCACCTTCTCAAATGCCAATTTATGTGCTACCATTTTCATCTCGAGTGAGCCACGTTAGCTGAGTGTCTGCCTGCCGTGATCTCAATATCGTGATTCACAATTTTATCCAAATTTAAATAGCTTGTTAAAAAAAAATCAAAATGAACATTTAGCTTCATTTCCAACAGAGGGAAGCCTACCCAGCGTGACATTCGGAAACAGAGATAATATTTTCTAAATTTGTGGTTCTGTTTGCCTTTAGGCTGTGTTGCCCGAACGGTAAATTCACCAAATCAGCACCTCCTAAAAGCTGATGATGTTATCAGCTGTTGTCTGGATTTAAGCGCTCCAAGCATTTCCTTCCGAATTAATGGGCAACCAGTACAGGGGATGTTTGAAAACTTCAACACTGATGGGCTCTTCTTTCCTGTGGTCAGCTTCTCTACAGGAGTAAAGTAAGTTATTCTTCCATTTCTGCGTTCATTTCAGTTCAGTGTTTGTGCCACAGTGTGTCAATATTGCACGAAAGATGGCTGAACAAGTGTGGAACCACCTCATGAATCTGACACCAACTGGTTGCAATATTCTGGCAGTAGAGGCATGCTGGCACACTATATTAGAAAAGGCACACGACTGCTGCAATGACAATGGCAGGTTAAGTCAGTTTAGCTATTTTGGCTGTTAGTGCAGAAAGTACGGAGATGGGAAGCCAGAAACAGAGGAGTGAAGTGAAGGACACAGCCAGGATATCTTCACTCCCGCTCATGAGCATCTGTTCGGACTCCAGTTCCTTCAGAGAAGCATCCCCTCACCACTTTGCTCCATTGTACTCTACCTTTCCATTCATCTGCTGAGTCCTGACAGAGCATCCTCTTGGACAGATTTCTGCAATAAACACCACTGCTGAGAACCTCACCGTAACATTTTTTATCAAACAACAAATCCGATGTTCATTAATATGTTTTTTTGTTGTTTTGTTGGTACTCTTGCCTGTCATGTGTGTGAGACAGAGAGAGGGGGGGGGGATGTGTGGGTGCAGTGCTTTGGACTTCACTATTTAGGCGTGGGTGGCAGACAGGCAATAGCAAGGACAGTGGTTTAAGTCTGAATGCTGTCAACCTGCAAGAAGGTAGCAAGTTCAGACAATGTTGTACTGCCTCTCACACTGGATGGCTTCTCAGCATTCTTGGTCATCTGTTCTACTGCTGCAAGAGCCTCCAGTACGACATCCTGGTGCTCAATTTGTGTAGTTCCTCATTACAGTCAGCAGCATTCTTCTCCCATTGAGGGCACTGGATACTACAAAGGCTATGGGCCCTGACAACATTCTGATAATAGTACTGAAGCCCTGTACTCCGGAACTTGTTGGTCCCCTAGTCAAGCTCTTCCAGTACAGTTACACCATTGGCAACCACCTGACAATGTGGAAAATTGCCCAGGTATGTCCTGTACACAAAAAAAGGACAAATTCAGCCCAGTCAACTATTGCCCATCAGTCTACTCTTGATCATTATTAAAGTGATGGAAGGTGTCATCAACAGTGCTTTCAAGCAGCACCTGCTCACCGACACTCAGTTCGTATTCTGCCAAATCCATTCAACTCCTGACCTCATTATAATCTTGGACTGAACATGGACAAAAGGGCTGAATTGCAGAGGTGAGGAGAGGATGACTGCTCTTGACATCAAGTCTGCATTTGACCGAGAGTGGCAATAAGGAGGCCTAGCAAAACTAGAATCAACAGGAATCAGGGTAATATCCTCTGCTGGTTGGAGTCATACCTGCCAGATAGGAAAATGGTTGTGATTGTTGGAGGTCGGTCACCTCAGCTCCAGGGCAGCTCTTCAGGAGTTCCTCAGGGTAGTGTCCTAGGCCTGACCATCTTCAGATCCTTCATCAATGACTTTCCCTCCATCAGCCGTATGGATATTCACTGATGATTGTATGATGTTCAGCACCATTCTCGACTCCTTAGATATTGAAGCAGTCTGTGTCCAAACACAACAAGACTTGGACAGTATCCAGGCTTGGGCTAACTAGTGGCAAATAACAAGTGTGCCTCACAAGTGCTCGGCAATGATCATCTCCAATAAAGGACAATTTAACTACTGACCTTCACCTTCAATAGCATTACTATCACTGAATTCCTCACAATATTTTATTTAAATACAATATAAATACATTAGCTACTGGAGCAGGTCAGAGGCTAGGAATCCTGCTGTGAATAACATATCTCATGATTCACCAAAACTTGTTGAAATATCTGCATGCTGCACCCACTTGTCTGGATGAGTGCAGCTCCAATAACTCCACAAGCTTGAGACCATTCAGGACCACATAGTCCTCTTGACTGGCACCATATTCACAAACATTCACTCCCTTCATCCCCAGCATACAGGAGCAGTAGTGCATACCATCTACAAGATGAAGTGTAGACATTCACCGAAGACCCTTAGACAGCACCTTTCAAACCTGTGACCATTAGCATCTAGAAAGATAAGGGTAGCAGATACATGGGAACACCCTGTACCCCTTCAAGCCACTCCCCATCTTCACTTGGAAATATATCACTGTTCCTTCACTGTCCCTGGGTGAAAATCCTGGAATTCCCTCCCAAACAACATTTTGGATGTACTTAACACCACAAACGGATTGCAGCTATTCAAGAAGGCAGCTCACCACCACCTTCTCAAAGACAAATAGGGATAAGTAATAAATGCTGGCTTATAGTTAGGTGGAATGAAGGAATCTTCGATGATAGTTTTATAAAGAAAAGCTTACACTTCTGACCAAAAAGAAGTATAAAGACCAGGAGTCAGTTTAAGAGGATTGGATGATCCAAAATAATTATATGTGGAGGCTGTGAAAGTGTTAAATGTGCCACTGCTTCCATAAACTAGGTGAGTGTGAAATATGTGATGCCCTCTCCATTCCCCTGCTCCTCCCCAACCTGAACGGTGAAAATAGGTGTGTGTGGGGGCTGGACTTTGGATTTGGAGCTCCAGTGCTACATTGGCGAATGTGCAGAATGTTTCTGACTTCATAAAGGTTCGGGCTATAGTAAATGGCTGTGATACCACCAGCACTGGATGTCTCAGTGTTTGAGCTCAGCACATGGATGATGGCTGACTTGGGTGGCTACAATCACAATTTTTGTTTTAATTAATGGGATGTGAACATCACTGACTGGGCTGACATTTGTTGCCCACCCTAACTGCCCTTGAACTGAGAGGCCTGTTAGGACCATTTCAGAAAGTAGTTAAGAGCCAATTACATTGCTGCAGTCTGGAGTCACATGTAGGCCAGACCAGGTAAGGATGGCAAATTTCCTTCCCTAAAGAACATTAGTTAACCAGATGAGTTTTTACAACTATTGTTACATGGCTGCCATTAGGCTAACGTCTAATGTCAGAATTTTTTTATTGGATTCAAATTTCTTCATCTGCAATGGTGAGATTAAAACCAAGAACATTAGATTGGGATTCCGAATTACTAGTAGAGTGACGGTACCATTGCTCGATTCCCTACTGGTCTTCATGCCTTACTTGTAGCTCAAGTGGTTGAGGGCTTTTCAGAATCTCTCTGGATGCTTGAAACTTGGGATTTCACCACTTGGCTCAGTTTGGTGTCGGTGGCATGTTCGGTCAAGCTGGAAGTGTGCCATCGACAAATGTGACTGTCATCCATGCACGGGATGGTGTGGAATATATTCCATTCGGCGCTATGAGATTTCAGACGAATGTGTGGAATTTTCTTCTGAGGTCTAGGTTAGAATAGCATCATATTTGGCACAGATATAGTGGGCCAAAAGGCCTGTTCCAGTGCTGTACTATGTCCTGTGTGAATGAGACTGCCTTGTGAGCCATCAGCTGGTGGGGCTATTTGAGGAGGATTTTATCACTGTGATTTAGTACAAGAAGACATTTGAGTTATAGTGGACTGAACGTTTTAGCAACAGTCCTCATGACTGCCTGCACGGAGAATCCTATCTTGCTTGTCTGGTGTTTCCTGAACCAGCATGAGCAGCAAATCTCTGCTTAATTGTTGGCCAAGAATTTTATTGTTCTGCTGATCTTAGCATGATATTTTCTGCTGTTTAGTTTTTAATGCAACCATTTTGTCTAATTGTGCAGCATTTATGTTTCCTTAGAGTCCGTTTTTTGCTTGGCGGTCGTCATGGGGAGTTTAAGTTCCTGCCACCTCCAGGTTATGCTCCTTGTTTTGAAGCCTTGCTTCCGAAAGAGAAGATGAGGGTGGAACACACTAACGAATACAAACAAGATCATAATGGTGTCAGGGACCTCCTTGGCCCTAACATCTCACTCACTCAAGCTGCCTTTACACCAATGCCTGTGGGTACATCTCAGGTAAAGCGCTTGTTTTGTTGGACAATTGCATATTGCTGTATGTCACCACAGATACAAATCATACTGGGTGTAGGAACTGCATATTAAAATAGAAGATTTAATTGCATTAAATGGATGCAAATTTGGAGCTTCTGCCCAAAAAGACAATTTTTTTGAAGCTGGCGTTATGAACATTAATACACAGTATCGTTGTGCACTCTGCTAGCATAATATTCATGTTTGTGTACATAGAAAGACAAGTAGGCAGCTTCTTTCAAGACTATTAATGCATTTACAGCCTGATGTCACAAAACCCTTGTAGTTATTATGATCCTAGTGATGATAATACTGGTCAACTCGTATCCGATAGTGAGGTCTGGCTCGATAGGCCCTAAGTTTTATTTTTTGCAGTTTGGTTACAGCCGTGGTCATTCACTGAACATAGTCACAAGAGGCATCCAATATACTTTTCAGAAAAAAGAACACAAGTTTATTACACAAAAGAAAAACTATATATAACTGAAAGAACTGCGGATGTTGGAAATCTGAAACAAAAACAAAAATTGCTGGAAAATCTCTGGCAGCACCTGTGGTGAGTTTCTTCAGAGCTGATGATAGCTAGGAAAAGAAAATGGGGTTGGGGGAGGTGGGGAGAAGTAAACGATAGGTTGAGATAGAGCCCAAAGATAAAGAAACACAAATGGATAGACAAAGGAGTGGTTAAAGGTCAGTGTGGGGGATTGAATAGCTGCTAACGGTGACTTTTAGTGGCTGACAATGTGTAGTGTATGGTAGCAGCCAATGTGATGACAAGGCCTGTTGTGTGCGAGTAGGGAACTTAATATCTAATTCAACAATTTTAGGGCTTGAGCACCTTTCCCTGTGGTTTCCCCCACTTCCATGCACCAGGCCTTGTCATTACATGGGCCTCACAGCGCCAGAGACCTGGGTTTGATTCCATCCTTGGGTGATTGTCTGTGTGGAGTTTGTACATTCTCCCTGTGTCTGTGAGTTTCCTCCAGGTGCTCTGGTTTCCTCCCACAGTCCAAAGATGTGCAGGCTAGGTGGATTGGCCGTGCTAAATTGCCCGTAGTGTTCAAGGATGTATAGATAAGGTGGGTAATGTGGCATGGTGGGGCATGGTGAGGCATGGTGTGGACTTGTTGGACCAAAGAGCCTGTTTCCACACTGTGGGGATTCTATGATTCTATTTATCATCAGTTCTGAAGGAGGGTCAGTGGACCCGAAATGTTAACTCTGATTTCTCTCCACAGATGCTGACTGACCTGCTGAGATACTCCAGCAATTTCTATTTTTGCTATATATGGAATAGTTTGAAAATCTGTCGTCATTAGCAGCAAGTAGAAAGAAACAACACTTTTTCCCCACAATATTCTTTTCAGACGCTCAGCCCCAGTGAGGTATCACTCCTATTTTCACTTTAAAATTTCTTAACCAACTAATGAGTTTGCAAACATTTAATTTTGGCAATCACCAGATATGATTCTCTCTGTCTCTTCCAGAGGCACACCAACACAGGCCAACTCACTGAACGTTCTCACTAAACTCTATGGGAAAAAAAAATCAGGACTTTTGTCAGTGATTTTGACTACTTTGAGGCTGCTAAACAGCACATCTGGTAATACAGATCTTCAGCCCCCTTCTGGCCTCTGGTCTCTCTTTTCTTGAGGTTGTAAAATCTCAACTGAGAAAACACTTAAGCAATTATTTCATCAGGTTGCTTCTTTATCATTTAGCAAAAGTCACATCCTTTCTTGGAAATGCAGTTTTGACCCACTAGTAGAAGAAATGAGCTTCTGACCCTTATAAAAAATAAATCACCTTAAGAGACTTGAAAATCAAAAACATATTTACCTCTACTTTCAAAACCAAGATCCCAAATAATAATATGTTATAAATGCAAATTACATAGTTCAAAATCAATATGTCTCATCAAATTTGATGTGTTACTCTTTTATAACACATCTCAGGATTGTCCACTGATTTCTGTTTGTGTTTTTGTGGTTGGGGGCATTCAAGACAGGGAGTGACAAATTGATCACTTTTGTGATTTAACTACAATGTTTAAGTATGTGAAGTTATGGTACCATATAGATCAAGAACCAGAGATAGCTTGTATACTTTAGGGGAACATCACAGTGTAAGTTATAGATTAATTCTGTTTCTGCTTTATATCAGCATCACAGACTAACATCTGTATACCACCAATATTTTATGAGTGTATTTAACAATATGAAAATGACCAGGCAATTTGTTTGTGATGTTGATATTTAAGCTAAGGAATAGAGATGGATTTTTGATTCAGAGTTAGAGGTTTCAAGGTTTAAAAATCCTTGAATACTACATGTAATCAGAGAACAAGGAAGGAATGCACAGCTTTGTTTTCTTGAATGCTGAACACCTGTTTGATCATCTTCTATTATGGGTTCTTCAGGTCTTAATTTGAGCTGAACTTTGTTAAACTTTGTTTATTATTGCACTCTACAAGGTAAGACTAGAGAGCAATATGCTCCGTATTGTAAAGAATCCAACGTATTAATGAAACACAAAAGCACGACAATGTAGGTCACAGTGAACCCATAAGTTACCTCAGAGGCTTATCGACATATTTATTAAACCCTATTCATACACATCACACTGACTTAATCATGAATCATGACTCTAAACTCTAAAATCATGTATCAGTATTTTATGAATTCTTACTGCAATGTAACAAAGCTAATTTTGCAGAATATTTACATTGCATTCATATCTGAGCTCACGAATCCTTTCTCACACTTTATGCTCAGTTTCATTTTTCTAATGATTGGAGCAAAATATACCCCTTGGTATTGGACCAGTTGTGATTCTATGTCGCTGCTGGCATCTTATGCCAATGTGTGTAAGTTTTGATTTCTAAACAATGTGTTATGCTTTTGCTGAGGCATCATATTTGTTTGATGACTTTTTTGCCAACTCACAAGTGCTGAGCACTAGGTATAAAATAGTTTATGAATGTGATGTTTAACCCTTTTACAGCAGAATTTATTTATGATGTGTTTACCGACGTGAATAGTTTGTTCTCTGACTCACCAATTATCATGTTGCTGGCAATGTTGCCATGGTTAATTTGATCCAATTCTTGGCCTTAAAAATTGCCACAATAACCTCAAAGTATATCTAATGTGCCTTTGAATGGAAAGAAATATAGGAATTGCTGGAAATATAAATAGACATTTTTTGTACTGCTCATGCCTTTTCTTTTGATTGGCTTAGTGCCTGAATGGGACCATGCCTTCTGTTTTAGGATACCAATTTTTGTTTTCGACTAAGAAGTGGGAAAGTTGGTGTTTGTGTTGGAAGCCCTCACTGTTTGTTATTTTGGAGGAAGAAGAGGAGGTTTAGCAGTGAAATCCAAATGGATGAGATTTCACCAAAAGAAGAAAGCTGTATATAGTCATTATTGATCCTTCAAACTATATATATGTATGATGTCCCTGACTTTTGCTAATACTCCTGTATATTGAATGTTTAGGGGAAAAATATGCTTTGCAAGCTTACCTTCAAGAATTACGTTTCTCTCTTGAACCTTCAGATTGTACTCCCACCTCACCTGGACCGAGTTCGAGAAAAGCTAGCAGAAAACATCCATGAGCTCTGGGTGATGAACAAAATTGAGCTTGGCTGGACATATGGGCCGGTATGTTGGTGACGTACCATTAATTCATATACGATAGACTTTGAAACCAGGAGCCCTCTTTTCTATTGTCTGTTAGCTTAGGAAAAGTAAGTCAATTTGGTTTTGAATCAGGCTGAAGATTATTTTAGTTAGAATCTAATGAAGGAAAATAAACCTTTATATTGAAAGGCAAGCAACGTTAGAAAGCAGTATCTCGGAATATAGTAAAGGTTGCAAAGTACGCAGTAAGTGTATTTTCCTGGAACTGGCTACATCATCACCCAAGTTGGTTTGAAGTTCTATTAAACATGTTACTTGGCTCTCAAGGAGGAACTTCAACTTGTGTGATGCCAAACCACTGCTGGGAGACTCAAGCCATCACTGGAGTTAGACTTAAATGACATGTGAGCATCCCAGAGGAGCGAGCCTCAACCTTCTGGCTATGAAGGGCTGAAAACCAAATGGCTCCCATGTGGAGCCAGCCTGCAGTTCCAACCAGGGAAGGTGAGTGGAGGTGGTGTGAGGAGAACTGATGGCTTAGAGATTGCTATGTTGAGGAGTGGGGTGTGGTTGTGGCTGGTGCACCACTGAGTAACTAATGAGCTAGATTTCTTTAGTGACCCAGGCTGAGCTCTCTGTCTCCAAAAAAAAGCTTACAGTGTTCTTAAAGCACTAAAGACCACTTCAGTAACTGTTTTTTCAATCTCTTGCTGCGTGATAGAAAAACGGAGTGTTAATGGTCCTGAAATTTAGGATTGCACACATTACATTTTTGCATATTTAAGCAGCTGTACACTTGCTCACCCATTTACAGGCCCACCTGTGCATCGGGTGGGCCTTGGACATCAATGCAAGGGCTAAGGTGGTCCTCCAATTTGAAACTGTTGACTGGCATTTATCAAACCAGGGGTAGGTAGGTGCTGAATAAAATGCACACCCCCTTGTTCTTCCTCTAATCAACTTTATCAAGCTAGCAACCCCAAGGCAAGAAGACCCAATTTGATACAGTATTTAACCTTCTGAGAATTTAGCAAGACTGTCTTCTATCGTTTTTTTTAACTTCATGACAGGATTAGGGAGAATTATTTGAAGAAAAAGCATTTCCTTTAGTTTCAGCTATTTGAATTAGGCAGAAATGAGAATTTTTTAACTTTACTTTCGCTAAACATTGAAACAACAATGCTGTAGCCAAAATCCCTTATTACACTTTAACTTAGTTTGTTTATGTTTGCCAAAACTTTGTGATAATCAAAATTAGAGTTGATTTGGAGATTTAAGACAGGCTTTTGATTATAATATGCCGCTACAACTGTGAAGATATTAACACAACTTGGCATTTCCTTACAGATCCGGGATGACAACAAACGGCAACATCCTTGTCTGGTGGAATTCTCCAAATTACCAGAACAGGAACGAAATTACAATTTGCAGATGTCACTTGAAACCCTGAAGTGAGTATGTTATTTTATTTATTCTCTTTCTTCTTACAGGGAACAGTCACAAACATCATATTTTCCTGACATTTAAAGCTTTTGTTAAGGCTGACAATTTTTGGATTCCTACAGTGTATACCTAGTGAAGCTTATTATTATATGATTTTGTTCCAGTCGTAGCTTTCTGAAGATCACAGGAGCAAAGAACAGAAGACCATTGCCTCTGACATCTTCTGATAAGCCATTCATTGCATGCAAGGTCCCAGCAGAGATGTGACGTCTCTGAGCATCTCACCCAGTGAGAATATAATAAATTAACTTTCTGAATTAATTCTCACTGGCTGAGAATATAATCTGCTGGGATTTATGGCCTGTCTCAAATCCACTGAAATTCATTTGTAAGTTAATGATAAAGAAATAAGTAACAGAAATGTCAGGCAGAAATTAATGCCCTACCTCCTGGTGAGTTTAATGATGGAGGCTTTTCGTCAAACAGGGCCACCTTGCTGCCTTCCCACCAATTTAATCTCATGGGAAGATCCTTAGATGGCCTTTCTGCCCATCACTAATTGATACACTTATATGGGCAATTAGTGCCAACTTATAGGTCTCATCCCACTGTTATTAAGCAAATGCCAGGCAAACTGCATGACAGGCAAATCAGTGAAAGGTTTCTTGCAGGGACTTAGAGGAGGAGAATTTCTTGTTCAGAGGCATGACTTAAAGACTCAGTGCCTGACTGAGACAGCCATTATGGGCTGACAGCCACCCCTGCTGCTGATGTCCTCTCCTCCCTCTCTTTCTCCCATGCAACCTCACCTCCATCATTTCTCACCCATGGCCTTGACAATCCAAGGCCTCCAGCAGTTGTCATAGTTACAGCAACCACTGCCTTCAGCTACGTTCTGCCTTTCAGAGCTGTCAGCCTTTGCTTGACCTGCAACTCATGGAGGGTGTTGGCGGTTGGCAGGACTTTTGCCCCCAGGGACCTTGATCCTGGAGAAGGCCTACCATGGTCCATTGATGCACTGAGGTGACACTCAGTGTGAAGCAAACCTTTCCTAAAAGAGGCGACACATGGATCTCGCTGGCTTTCCAGCTGGTGGGTCAGACCTAAGTTGTCTTCATTAAGTGCTGCCTGCTGTCATGTTAGCTTCTTAATTTAATAGTTCTTATCTTTTAAGGGGAGGTGATGGCCTAGTGGCATTATTGCTCGACTATTAATCTAGGAAACCCAGGTGATGTTCTGGAAACCTGGGTTCAAATCCCACCATCACAGATGGAGTAATTTGAATTTGTTAATAATCTGGAAATAAGACTAAATGGTGACTGTGAAACCATTGTCAATTGTCAGGAAAATCCCATCTGACTCACTAATGTCCTTTTGTTGTAATCTGTTATCTTTACCTGGTCTGGCCTACCTGTGACCCCAAACCCACAGCAATGTGTGTGACTCTTAAACAATTAGTGATAGACAATAAATGCTAGCCCAGCCTGCAACGCCCACATCCTGTGAATGAATTTTTAAAACATCTGCAAACACCATCCAAGGAGAATATACTCAGCCCTCTCCTAGACAGTAAAGCAGTAGTAGTCATTTAGGAATCCTAAGGAGCAATGATTTACCTATCCTTTACCCACTATGACTGTCTCTAGCTCTGTCTCTTGATTGAATACCAGTTGAACAAAAATAGCTGCACTTTTTTTTTGAGGATGTGAAATTTACTGCCACAGTGCTGTGCAATGTGCGAATTTATTTTTTGAACTTCCTTACGAGCTTATCATAGTCAGAGCAAATTACTGCAGGTGCTGGAATCCGTACTGAAAACAAAAAATGCTGAAAATCACAGCCGATCAGGCAGCATCCATGGAGAGAGAACAAGCTAATATTTCAAGTTTAGATGACTCTTCATCAGAGCTGATATGAAGTGTGGAGGGGACAGCATTTATGCTATAGTGGGGAGGTGGAGTGCTGGAGGAGAGAGGCTGCTAATAATGCAGATTAAGTGATCGGAATGTGAGAATGGCAGAACAGTAGTGTGTCTAAGAAGGACCCTTCTTCAGAAATGGGGGACGGGGAAGGGAGTTGTGAAATAAAAAGAGAGAGGAGGGGTGGGGCTGGGGAATGTAGATGGGATGGTGATAGGTGAGTGCAGGTAGGCAGTGGTGGGGATTGGTCAGTGCGGTGGGAGGAGCGGATAGGCGGGAGAGAAGATGGACAGGTTGTGTCAGGTCAAGGGGGCAGGGATGAGAGGGACAGTTGGTCATGGGATGAGGCCAGGGATGGGGAGACTTTGAAAGTGGTAAATTCCACATTGAGACCATTGGGTTTTATGCTCCCAAGGCGGAATATGAGGTGCTGCTCCTCCAGTTTCCGGGTGGCATCATTGTGACACTGGAGGAGGCCCAGGATGGACATGTCACCCAGGGAGTGGGAGGGGGAGTTGAAATGGTTTGTGACTAGAAGGTATTGTCGTTTGTTGCAAACAGAGCGCAGGTGCTCTACAAAGCAGTCTGTGAACCTCCGCTTGGTCTCACCGATGTAGAGGAGGCCACATCAACTTTGCTGCTCCTCTAATGCTGTCTGACCTGCTGTGCTCATCCAGCTCCACACTGTGTTATCTCTGACTCCAGCATCTGTTCTTACTATCTCTTAAGCTGGAGACACTTGTTTGATGTTAGAATGTAAAAGGAAATGCCTAAATATTTGCATTAGATCATATGTGTTAAATAACTGCAGTGTATTTAATCCACTTGGGGCAATCTCCCCAGGTTTAATTAATTCCTTTGTTACTGAGATAAAATACACTCAAACTGTGTTCTGCAATTGAAAATCTTGATGGTAGCCAGGCAGACTTGGTATGATAAAGCGTTCTGTTTAAATCTTTCTTAATGAGAATCACAAATTAATTGATTGTGAAAGCTTTATTTTAATAATGGTTTTAATGAGCAAGTTTTTTGGTATAGAATTGGAGGTAATGCATTAATTTGAACTAGATTTTAGAATAATGATAGTGTATTTATTCATTTTGAAACAAGAAACATTTTCACCAGGCACAGTAAATGGTAGAGCAGACGTTGCTCAGATAACAAGGTGTAGAGCTGGATGAACACAGCATGGTCAAGCAGCATCAGAGGAGCAGGAAAGCTGACATTTCGGGTCTACACCCTTCTTCAGAAATGGGGGAGGGGAAGGGGATTCTGAAATAAATAGGGAGAGAGGGGGAGGCGGATAGAAGATGGATAAAGGAGAAGATAGGTGGAGAGGAGGCAGACAGGTCAAAGAGGCGGGGGTGGAGCCAGTAGTAGAATCGTGTGTTCAGGTTGTGGATCCTACGAAGAATGAAAAACAGGAGAGGTCCTTTGCAGGCCTGGGAGAGGGAGGCCCAGAGCTGGGGTAGGCTTGATTGTAGTACTCGGAGATGCCAGCGCATTGCTGCGAGTGTGTGTTTGAGGAGTCGCAGGGAGAAATGTTTTTGAAGGATCTCAATGTTCTGAATATAGCAGTTGTCGCGATTGGGGCCAAATTGGGAAGGCCTAAATGTAGACTGTAGTCCATTGGGGATGATCCGGTTCTGTAGGCAGGTACTAAGAAAGGCAATGTTGCTGTAGTACCTGGTTTGCTTCAGGACATGGTCGAGCAGTTTTAGGACTGAAGAGATGACAGGAGAGTTGCAGTGGGAGAGAGATCCACTGAGGTCTTTCCGGAGGGAGGATGGTAACTTCTTCAAGGTAGGCATCCTTGGAAGAGGCTTCACAGTGGGGTTAAAATTGTTTAAGAGATAGTAGGAACTGCAGATGCTGGGGAATCTGAGATAACAAGGTGCAGAGCTGGATGAACACAGCAGGCCAAGCAGCATCAGAGGAGCAGGAAAGCTGACGTTTCGGGTCGAGACCCTTCTTCAGAAATGGGGGAGGGGAAGGAGATTCTGAATTGCTCAGTTGTTTTGCTGTACTTCGTGACTCCAATGGGAGAGCAGCAGAGGGGCCTGATAGGGGAGTAAGATTTTCAAGTTCTTACTTGGCTACAATTGATACTGGTCTAAACGGCATGAGGCTGGTGGTGGTAACTTTCTTCGCAAACTATGGCCTGCAATTGGAGGCTGTTATTAAATCTTGGGAGGACCAAAGCCATTGTATTCAGGTGCCATTTCAGACTTCACTCTCTACCCACACTCCACTCTTCTCCCTGCAAATTTCCTGAGGCTGAACCAGACTGTTCACTTTTGGTGTCATATTTGAACCTGAGAAGCTTTTGATTGCATATCTGCACTTTCGCCATCACAACCCATTTCCATCTTCATCAAGTTGCTTGAATTTGCTTTGCCTCAGCTGACCTGCTGCTTATTCATGCCTTTGTAATCGCTTGTTTTGTCCAGTCTAATGCACCCTGGTTGACATTCTATGTTATGTCCTCTGTAATTCTGACCCTGTACCTTGTTGGAAAACCTGTTCATCCATCATCTCTCTGTTGCTCGCCCACATCGTCTGCTGGTCAAGGAACACTTCAATTTTAAAATTTTCATTCTTGTTTTCAAAATCGACAATTGTCTTACACCTTGCAACCCTATGAAATGTCTGCTTGCAGCTGATTCTGGCATCATGATTTTAATTGCGCCCAACTGGTAGCTGAGCCTTCAACTGCCTTCAACTCTCCAAGCTCAGGAATTCACTCCTGAAATCTCTGAGGCTCTTTGACTGTCTTTCCTCTTTGAAGTTGCTCTTTAAATACTAGCTCTTTGACCAAAGTATTGACAGTCTCCTCTTGTATCACCTTATGTGGCTTGTCTTCAAATCTTAATTTATAATGCCCCCATGAAATTTCCAGGGATGAAAACTGAAAGAACTGTGGATGCTGTGAATCAGGAACAAAAACAAGCTGCTGGAAAAGCTCAGCAGGTCTGGCAGCATCCGTGAAGAAAAAGAATCAGAGTTAACGTTTCACATCCGGCGACCTTCCTTACCGGACCTGAAACGTTAACTCTGATATTTCCTTCACAGCTGCTGCCAGACCTGCT